TGTATTAGTCTGTTTCGCATTGCTTAAAAGGAATACCTGACACTGATAATTTATAAAGAAAAGAGGTTTATTTGGCTCATGGTTCTGCAAAATATACAAGAAGCATGGCACCAGCATCTGCTTCTGGTGAGACCTCAGCGACATCTGCCTCTGGTGAGATTTTACTCTTGGTAGAAGGCTAAGGGGGAGCCAGTGTCTCTCACATGATGAGAGAAGGAGAAAGAGAAATGCCAGGTTCTTTTAAACAACCAGCTCTTGAATGGATTAATTGAGTAAGAACTGACTATTATTGTGAGAATGGCACCAAGCCATTTATGAGAGATCTCCCCTCTCCACCCAAATATCTCCCACTAGGTTCCACCTCCTATACTGGGGATCACATTTCGACAGGAGATTTGGAAGGGACAAACATCCAAGCCAAATAAGAGAGTAAAAACAACATTTATCTTTCAGTGCTTCCATTACCTCCATGGTAGTTTATGTATTGAATGCACAAGTGAACAAACATATACAATGGTAAAGAAATATTAATAAGCATATTTGTTTTTATCTGATACTGGTTATGTCAAAAAGAGTATATATGCTTAGAAAAACAAATAGGTAGAAAACGTTAATTTTACTAATACGTTATTTGATATTTGTGTCTTAAGATAACTCACCGTATTTACTAAAGACATCTTCAAAATTAAAATATTGACCCCCACCTCATAGAGTTTTTTTTCTTTCCAACCCCTACTCTACCCATAAGTGTCTTCTACACACATAGAGATATTTTATCCAATAAAGTTCTTTGATCACAACTCTAAATATTTACACTCAGTGATGTATCAGTAAATTGACTCTTTAAAATGTATTATGTTTCTACCACAATCCTCTGTCTCTGTATGTCTTTCTCCCCACTCCCTGCCTCTCTTCCTCTTCCTGTCTTTTCCCTATTATGCTTCTCATGGTACCACTTATCAAACTTAGACCCCATGGTGAATCACTTCAACTTTCCTCATGCTGTCTTTTCTCGATAGAGATGACAGTATCATCTCTACATGAATTCCCTAACCTTCCACTGTCTCTTTTCTGCAAAATTTCAGTGGAGTCAGCCCAACAATCTGTGGTATCTCTTACAATATCAGCATCAGAAGACTGACAAACCCTGAGAAAATCTCACGACATGAATTGTGACAACAAATTTATGGTGCTCAACATCAAATAATGCCTTCAGTTTTATTACGAGGTGGTTTGCTGGTTTTTTGTTTTTGTTTTTGTTTTTTGTTTTTTGTTTGTTTTTAATACAGCTCTGAAATCTTCCTCTTTGTATTATCCTCAATAGCTCATCCAAACTTTCATCACCTTTCCCCACCTAGTGTAACCATATTATGGCCATTGTTTTGTAGATTAGCAATACTTATTCTTCCAGACCAAAAAGCAAAATAAGGAAATAGAGTATGACTCCCTCAACTTTTCACTCCTATACCAAAAGCTTAGCATTCTTTACGAAGACTCTCACATTATTTCCTTAAATTTCAGAACAGAACTTGTCTTCTCTCATTCTATAGGTCAGGCTCTACTGTCCTCTTGACTGCACTTCCTTCTTTTTCCTCTGATATTACAGTATCACTTATTCTTCTACCTTATAAATGTGCAATCTCACTCTTGGAACTAGTTCCTTTCCTAAAACTCTGTGAGCTAGTTTACATTTGCTCTATTAAATAATTAAAAAATGCCACCAGACAGAGTCAAAATAAAATCTCTTTTTACATGAGGAAAGCTTCTCACTCTTGCCCAATCTTTTTTTCCTTCTTTTTTCCCTTCTTTCAAGATCCTTGAAAGAACAGTCTAGTTATTCACTCACTTCACTCATTTTTTCAGATCTTTATCATAAAATGATACAAATTTAATATATATACTTTTAAACTTTAGTACGTATATGAATACAAAACAAAGCTAAAAACATATCAGCTGTAATCATTGGAATTTTAATGCATTTCCTTCCAGTCTTATTTCTAAACCTATGTGTGTGTGTATTTTCAGTACTGGAATTAGATTGTGCATTGAGTTTGCTGCTTTTTTCCCATCTATCATTATATAATGGGCATTGGTCAATTATATAAACTCTCCTATAAAAACATGATTTTAATGACTACATTTTAGTCAATAAATGGGACCTAATATATACAACAGTTCATCTATGTCATTTACTAAACAACCCCATGAAATCAGACTTTAACCTCAATTGTTGAATGTTCGCCAAATGATGACCCTCTACTTGCCAAATGCAATGCGCTCATTTCGTTCCTGAATCTTAATTAAAGTTTCTATGAGCGTTATGTACTCCCCTTTTCTCCAAATAGTTTGACTTTGCTTTTTATAATATCATACCTTTATTATAATTTTCATCCAGTTTCTCTAAACATTTCCTCAGACTGGTCTTTTTTATACCCTCTTCTTTATGTATTCTTTACTCTAGGGTTTAATCCTTTTCACTTTATTCTTGAGCATTTTTCATCCACATCATGATTTCAAATGAGATTTACACACAAAAGAGTCCAAATTTGTAAAAGCAATAGTTTTTTAAATATTGATTTGATTTTTTGCAATTCTCACAGGTTAAAAACATTTTTTTCATTGATTTATATTTTTTTGTTGTCTTAAAATGTCTGGGCTGCATACTTTTGAGAAGGTTAAAGAAGGAAGCATGTAATCGTCACTTCGTCACTGTGTCCCAAGCAACAGTATTAGCTTAGGTATTCAGATGAATAAAAATCTGGGCTTCAAAGTGGAGGTGGGAAACGTTATACTTAGATATATTTGATTTAGCAAAAATAGTGTTATTTTCAATAGTTGGAGAAAAATGTAGTCAAATTTATGTACTCAATCACCAATTTATGAAGATATAGTTTAAATAAATGTTTATCTTTTTTAACTTTATTCTATAATAAGTTACTTGATTTACTAAATGAAGTTGGTTATAACCATGTTGCCATTAAAACACTAAAATGTACTGAAATCAATCTGCATTCTCTTCTTTGGATCAGCATGAAGTAAAGGAGCATGCTATCTCATTTTCCTCCAGGTAGTTTTTATGGTGGATATTAATCATATAAACACCTCTTCTTTCTCAGTGGTAGAAAGGCTCGGTGTTCCATAAGGTTGGTTTATTCTTTACAAGGTATACAGGCAGAATATTAGAAGCAAAACAATTTCATAACACAAAATGTTTTATGTCACAGGTAAAATCCCAAAACAACAAGTACTGCTACCAAAATGAGATTTTTATAACAAAACTGTTCTGTAATCTGGTATTTGGCCCTAACAGTGTTTTGTTGAGCTGGCTTGGGAATATTCTTTGGTCCCAGCTCCTACAAGTATCAATCTGTCTAACAACAGTAGCTGATGGTATACTGATTATACTGCAGGTAGGGCAAAGGAGGCAAAATCCTCATACCTTCTGTAATGACAGCACTTTTAACTTTTACAAACTGACTTACCCTTTTATCTCATTTGATCTTCATCTTAAATTTGAGAAACATGGTAGAAAAAGAGTATGGTAAAGAAAGAGTTATCAACTTCATTGAGCATATTTAGAAACTGAGGTTTGGATGACTGAAGTGAGTTGCTAAATTTGAATAAAAACTTATAAACTCCATGAGTTTCAACCTGAAGAGTCTTCTCTTTTACTGGTATTTTATCTGATTTGTCATTAAATAGCAATTACTTCTTCCTTCAATTCATCCTAGCTTACCTCACATAGACCTATGTTTTAGATTTAAAAACAACAAAACAGAGTAAATAGCATGTTTTTTTACAGCACTCTTGTATTTACTGTGTCGTAATTGTTTCTTTTCTATGACACATACCCCCAAATTTGATTTCTAACAACATGCTTCATAACAAAAATCTATTCAGAGAACTAAATTGGAAGTTGAAAAAAATAACTATGGTGTCATGAAAATCACCATCCTATAATACATCTTAGTTTTCTCCATGAAAAAAAGAGAGAATAAAAACAGTTGTCTCACAGGGTTAGTGACTAGCACTACTGCCTCCCATTTGCCCTAGCCTGAAAGCTGGAATCTTTCCAGCACCTTTCTCCTTTCCTACCTGTCCATGTCCCCAGAGACATCAGGTACTTTTAATGCTGCTGATTTTATGCTCTGAAAAGCTTTGGGATCTGTTCTCTCTTTTCCACCTCCACTAATTTTTAGTTTAAATTAATTTTTAGTTTAGTGCTTTTAATGCTGTTGATTTTATGCTCTGAAAAGCTTTGGAATCTGTTCTCTCTTTTCCATCTCCACTCATTTTTAGTTTAGACTTACCACATTACTGGGATTACTCTTAATTTACATCTTACTTCAAATCTTGCCAATTTCTACTTTATTATACTTGTAGAGAATGAGTTCCAGTCATGGGTACAACAAATTCTTGAGACTCCTTAGGATCCCTGCATTTCTACTTTTCAATATGTTCTTGATGCCTTTGAATACTTCATATGAACAGCTTTAATTAGGGACAGAGTGTTCTCTTAGGCTCTTTAAATACCTACTATTTTTTACTTAGAGGATGTACCATTACCGTTAGTACCAGTAGGAACCAACAGGAAGTGCAAATGGAGCCTACAAAAAGGCTCCAGAGAAAACAACAGAGCTCACACTTACCAGGGAACTATATCTAAAAAATAATGTATTTGAAATGAAGAATCTTAAATTTGCATACATGGAGTGTTCCCTCATAAAATCCCAGTATTCTCTTACAAAATGCATGCTTTCTTCAACTGGAAATGGTCATTTCAGATATAAAGATTCAACCCAGTGAAAATTACCTACTGTCAAAGTAATTTCAATGAAAATGTTTCAAATAAACTTTGAGTGACAGTCTTATACTAAGAGATAGTCCCTAAGGTATCCCTTCTGTAATAAGATTCCAAGAATATCTTTAGTCCAAAGCCCCAAGAAATGTAACTCCCATAAGCTATTAGGAATTTTAAAGTTTAAAAAAATTATACTTACACCAAAGTTGGTAGCAGCAAATCGATCAGAGGCAGAAACCTGTACATTTGTTGAAACTGTTGTGTGAGCATAGAAAGCATTTATATTAGCCAGTAAGGTACTCATGACAGCAGGGACACCAGGGCACATGTATTTAGAAGACAGACATGAAAAGTGCCTGCAAGACAAAAAAAAAAAAAATTGTTTTGAAAGCGGAAACTAATCAATTCATATAACAACAGAACTCCTAACATCAGCAATTAATTCTTCAAATACATCTATGAAAAGCAGAGAAAATTCCCACAATCTCTAATTGAAAGAGAAAATTTCAGCCTTTTGAAAACTTCTCATTCACAAATGTGAGTGGCTAAATTAGAATGCAATTTGGCACAGGGATGTATATAACTTAGCTGTGAGAGAGTTGTGTATACAGACCTGAAGTGAAATTTCCAGAGAAATTTAGCACAGTCAGAAAGCAATAGCACAGGAATCTCCCTCTCTCCCCAACCTTCTCCCACTCATTTTGGCTCCTGAAATGCCATATTCCAACCAAAATCTTTTTTTTGCATGTGTATTCCTCTGGCACAGATGAAGTAGCAGAAGGTCTTCCTTTCATTACACATTGATTGAATAAGTTAACTTAACATCTGAATGAGTTCAGTTTGTGAGTTTTTTCAGAAAGAAATATCTTCTGTAAGCAATTTTCTTTTCTAAGCACTTTGTTACAGACAGAATGTAATTAGACAAACAGATGAGTAGTGAGGATAGATTGAATTATGCCAGCTTTATACCTAAACTCCATTTCTTTTAAACCTTGAATAATATTATCATTTATAGCCATCAGAAGCATCCAGTGTTCAATTCTATTACTTCTCTCAAGGAAACCTGTTGCATTTGAACTATAACAAAAGACTTGAAAATGGAAAGCATAGCTTAAGATAAAAGTGAAAGATAAAATATGCATGAAGGAAAAAATTTTCAGTATATAAACTGATCCTATTTTGCTCTCCTATCTTAGTAATCTCTTCCACCTAGACATTTATGAAATTTGAATTATTGAACACAGGCACAGAAAGCACATACATAAAGAAATGCCCTGAGTAACACTCCCAAAATAAATGGATGGTGTTCTAAAAATTGTGGCTTTTCTTTTCTTTTTTTTTTGAGTTGGAGTCTCACTGTGTCACCCAGACTGGAGTGCAGTGGCTGCTCCCAGCCACCGCAGCGTCCACTTGCTGGGCTCCGGCGATCCTTCCACCTCAGCCTTCCAAGTAGCTGGAATTACAGGCATGCACTACCACGCCCAACTGATTTTTTGATTTATTGTAGAGATGAGATCTCGCTGCCCAGGTGGGTCTCGAACCCGCGGGCTCAGGCAATCCACTCGCCTCAGCCTCCCAAAGGCACGGGATGACAGGCTGAGCCACCGAACCCGGCTGTCAAAAAGAAATTTTAAAAACCCTAGAACTATCACATTTTCTTTTCCAAAGCCTCACAAGTAATTACAGATATTAGACTCAAATCACTAGTCCAGAGTTGTGGAGCACGCAAAGCCTAAATATAATGATGTGGGAGGTGGCAAAAGAAAATAAACATAAGTGGGAGGGAAAAAAGATATAGAAACTTTATGGGCAATTGTAAAAATAAATTGTTAAAAAACTCAAAGACAAGAGGTTTATTACCCTGAACGTGTTTTGTCTATTAAGAGGAGTATTGGAAGTCATTAGACTGAATAATCTTGGTGTTGGCTTTAAAAAATTATTGGTGTCCTCACAATGAAGCCATGATACTCAGACTTCACTTCTTTTAGCAGCCACCCTGTGATTTTGGTGCCTGATTAAGGCGATAGCAACAACCCAGCCCTCACTTCAAGCATAAATAACAGAGACATAGGAATAACCTACTTAAGGCATTTACACTGTGACTTTTATAAGTGAAATAGAAAGATTTGCATTTAAATGACATAATTATTTTTCGAATATGATCTCAAAAACCCAGGCAAAAAAAGCAAAAATAGACAAATGATATTGCATGAAATGAAAAAGCTTCTGAATAGCAAGGGAAACAATCAACAGAGTGAAAATACAACCTATAGAATAAAATATTTGCAAACTGTACATCTGGGGAATTATATCCAAAACATATAGGAAACTCAACAAATTGCAAGATAACAAATAACTTGATTAAAAGATGGGCAAAATACCTAAATAGACACATTAAAAGAAGATATACAAATGGTCAAAAACCGTTCAACGTCACTAATCAGGGAAATGCAAATTTGAGATAGCACCCCACTCTTATTAGAATGGGTATTATCAAAGAGACAAAAGGGCTAAGAAATAAATCAAGAGCACAATTCCATTTACTCGGATACACACACACACACACACACACACACACACACACACACACACACACACACAAATATACACTCCTAGGAATACACTTAACTAAGAGGTGAAAGATCTCTACAAGGAGAACTACAAAACACTGATGAAAGGAATCATATATGACACGAATGGAAGAACATTCCATGCTCACAGATGAGAAGAATCAATATTGTTAAAATGACCTTACTGCCCAAAGCAATCTATAGATTCAACACAATCCCTATCAAAACACCAATAACATTTTTCACAGAACTAGAAAAAATAACTCTAAAGTGTATATGGAACCAGAAAAGAGCCTGAATAGCCAAAGCAACACTAAGTAAAAAGAACAAATGTGGAAGTGTCATATAGCCAGTAACTTATAATTAAACTAAAGGGCTATAGTAACTAAAACAGCATGGTACTGGTACAAAAATAGACAGATCAATGGAACAGATAGAGAAACAAGAAATAAACCCCATACTTACAACCAACTGATCTTTGACAAAACAGACTAAAATAAACAATGAGGAAAGTACACCATATTCAATAAATGGTGCTAGGAAATTGACTAGCCTTATGCAGAAGAATAAAACTAGACTCCTACTTCTCACCATAGATAAAAATTAACCAAGATCGATTAAAGACTAAAATGTAATATCTGAAATTATAAAATCCAAAAAAGAAAATCTAGGAAAAACTCTTCTGGACATTAGTCTAGGCAAAGAATGTATGACAAAGACCCCAAAAGCAAATGCAACAAAACCAAAAATAGACAAATGGAACTAGATAGCTTTTACACACACACACATAAAGCAACAGATTTATCAGAAAACCTACAGAATGGGAGAAAATATTTGCAAATTATGCCTCAGACAAAAGACTAACATCCAGAATCCACAAGAACTCAAATAACTCAACATGAAAAAAAGCAAACAACCCCATTGCAAAGTGAGCAAATGATATGAACAGACATTTCTCAAAAGAAGACATACAAGTGGCCAACAAATATATTTTTAAAATGCTCAACATCACTAATCATCAGAAAAATGTGAATTAAAACCACAATGAGATATTATTTTATAAAAGTCAGAATGACTGTCATTAAAAAGTAATGAACAGCAAATATTGGCGTTGATACAGAGAAAAGGAAACACACTCTTGGTCAGAATGTAAACTAGTTCAGCCTCTGTGGAAAACAGTATAGATTTCAAAGAACTAAAAGTAGAACTATCATTCAACCTAGCAATCTTACTACTGAGTACCCAAATGAAACGAAATTCTCATATAAAAAGAAACCTGCACTCATATGGTCATTGCTGCACTGCTCACAGTATAAAAGCCTAAGCACCTATCAACAGTTGGCTGGGCCAAGCGCAGTGGTTCATACCCGTAATGCCAGCACTTTGGGAAGCAGAGGCAAGAGGCTTGCCTGAGCCCATGAGTTTGAGACCAGCCTGAGCAACTTGGCAAGATCTCATGTCTACAATAAATTTAAAAAATAGCTGGGCATGGTGGTATGAGCCTGTAGGATGAAGGATTAACTAAACCCAGCAGGCAGAGAGGCTGTGGTACCCAAGAGTGTGCCACTGCACTCTAACCATGGTGACAAGAGTGAGACCCTGACTCAATAACAACAAACAAAATAAGTTGATGGGATAAAGAAACTTTGGTGTCTATACACCACGGAACACTATGCAGCCATACACAACAAAATCATGTCCTTTGCAGCAATATGGATGGAGCTGTAGGCCATTAACTCATGTGAACTAATTCGTAAACAGAAAACTAGACACTACATATTCTCACCTATATGTGGGAGATAAATGGGAATAAAGATGGGAAGAGTAGATACTGGGGACACCAAAAGAGTGGAAGAGAGAAGTGGGGAAAGGGTTCAAAAACTATCAAGTACAATGTTCACTGTTTGGGGAATAAGGATCCCAGAGCCCAATCCCCACCAGTACACAATAAGCTCACATAATAAACATGTTCTTGTTACCCTCTAAATCTAAAATTTCAAAATTTAAATTTTAAAAATTGACCATAAATATCAAATATATATTTATATATGTGTATATATGTATGTGTGTGTATATCCCTAGAGATAACATATATCACTAGAGGAGTAGAAGAGTACAAGTCAAGACACAATGGAAATAAAATATTGTGTATAGTGAACTTTAGCAATTTTAGACTGCTGGATCCCAGATTTCCAGGACAACATCCCAGAACTGGTATGGCCAAAGACAAGGCTGCGTTTTCAGACAAAATTAAAAATATTAGAGAATAAATATATGTAAAAAGTTATTAGCAAGGAACACTAGGTCTTCTATATGGTATAGGAAGTGATATCATCAGATCTATATTGTAAGTGAACTAGTTTGGTAGGAAGAGTTTTTCACAGGGTAGGTTAAAGGAAGGTGAAAATAAAGAGTCCATTTAGGAGGGTACGAAGGGAAGAGATGATAGGTGTCGGAACTTGTGTGGAGATGGGGAGTAAGGAATTAATTTGAGTAATATTGAGAGAGGAAACAATTTCAGGTCTGGTAATTGATAAGGAGGGAGAGATAATTGATAAGGAGGGAGAGGTAATTGATAAGGAGGGAGAGACAGGAAAAAAACACATTATATTCCAAGGTTCTGGCTTGGGTGACCGAATGAAAGGTGCTTCTGCCAAGTGAGCTAGGAACTAAAAAGGGGACAGGAATTAAAGGGTGGGAATGATATATTCAGTCAAGTTTGAGCTTAAGGTGCTTATAGAGTTTCCGTGTAGGAATGCTATTGGTTTTTGGAGAACTACATTGGA